GCACCACCAGCCCGCTATCAGATGACACCCAAGACAATGGTCTCTTTTCTTTCCTTATTCCTGAAACCCTGGCCCCTGCCCCTGCCCAGGGCAGCTCCACTGGCTCTCCCCACCTCACTGGCTGCTCCTCTAATCTCCTTTGCCTGCCTCTCCTCTCCCCACCTGCGCATCTTGGGTCACCTCAGGGCTCAAGTGGCCTTTGCTTTTCTACATGCTCTGTCCCTATGTCATAGCAACCATTCCCAAGACCAACACAGTAGTCCCTCCTTATCCACAGTTTCATAGCCAAGTATGGTCTGAAAATAGGTGCGGACAGCACAAGAAGATGTTTTGAGAGAGAGAGAGAGACACCACATTCCCATAAGTATATTACAGCATATTGTTGGAGTTATTCTACATCATTAATAGCAGCATTGTTAATCTCTTACTGTGCCTAATCTGTAAATTAAAATTTATCATACATGTGTATGTATAGGAAAGAACAGGGCAGTACGGGTGGTCTCCAACTTTATGATGGCATAAAAGCTATTCGTGTTCAGCAGAAATAAACATCAAGACCCGTACAGCCATCCTGTTTTTCACTCTCAGTACAATATTCAATAAACTACAGGAGATACTCAATACTTTCTTATAAAATGGGCTTTGTGTTTGATGATCTTGCCCAGCTGTAGGCTAAAGGTAAGTGTTCTGAGCATGTTTAAGGTAAGCTAGGTTAAGTTCAGTTCGCAGGAAGGGCTGAGCAGAATATTTCACCAAATCACATAAGAGCGAGGACCCAAGGGTCAGCAGACCCAGATTCAAATCCTTGCTCTACCATTTAGTAGCAGGTGGCATGGACAGAGTGCTTACCCTCAGTAACCCTCAGGCTCCATATCTACAAGGCAGGGATAATATTACTAGCCACTTGTAGGATTGGTTTAAGTCTCAAATGAAACAAAGAATGATCTATGTGTATTTGACTTAATTAAAAAATTAAAAAAAAAATAAAATGCTTGGCTAGGCACCAGTGGCTCAAGTGGCTAAGGCACCAGCCACATACACCTAAAGTGGCGGGTTCAAATCCAGCCCGGGCCGCCAAACAACAATGACGGCTGCAACCAAAAAATAGCCAGGCATTGGGGTGGGCGCCTGTGATCCCAGCTACTTGGGAGGCTGAGGCGGGAGACTCACTTGAGCCCAGGAGTTGGAAGTTGCTGTGAGCTGTGATGTCACAGCACTCTACCCAGGGGGATAGCTTGAGGCTCTGTCTCAAAAAAATAAATAAATAAATAAATAAAATGCTTTAGCATGGAGCCGGCACACAGATTCAGTAAGTCACAGCTATAATTCATGACAGTAACCAGGTTCACCAGCCAGAAACAGGATCTGCTCAGATCCCATCAGTGGTGTCATGCTCAAAAGTCAGCCCATACCAAGAAAGGCAGAATGAGAATGGCTTTTTTACCACAATATCCTGATTTGGGGAGGGGGTGCTTTTCTTCATTTTCTGCACTTTCTTCACTTTATAGAAAAAATTTCTAGGATAGGCAAAGAGAAGTAGTCTCTGTGATGCAGTGAAAGCCCTTACCTCAAACGCAGCGCAGGATTTGATTGGGTAGAGATAAATGTTGGTGACAACGTGCGGCCCCAGGTCCCCATCAAGGACCCCTGTGGCTTTCTGTAAAGGTGTCTGCTGAGCTCCGGGGGCCGCACACAAAGATGAGGGCAAAGCCATGGCACTGATGGCAGAGGACAAGTCGGTCCCGACCCTGGAGTCTGTGGGGGCACCTTCCTGTGAGGAAGGGCTACAGCCACACTCGCCCTTCCCGGGAGCAGAGGCCTGAGGGACAGGGTGGCCACCTGCCGAGCACAGGCGGGTGCCTATGATGAACCTGAGAAAGGCCTGGGCATCCTCCAGTGTAGACATGTAGCCAAACGAAATCCTCACTGAGCCAGTCGGCTGCCCGTCTATAAGGTCAATATCGTCTCCACAGACATGACCAGCCTGGAACAAAATGGAAGTGAATCAGCCACAGGGACTAACACACACATTGAGAAATGAATTTTGTGAACTTTAAATTAACCCAGGAAGACACCAATGTGTGCTGTGTGCTGAGACACAGTTCAGTTCACACACTCAGGTGATCTCAGTTTGCTCAACTGTAAATTGGGGCTGACATCAACAGACACACTTCATGGAGAGTATTTCCCAGGCCTAAGGACAGGGCTGGCCCACAGATAGGCTGGCACAGAACAAAGTCTCTGAAGCACCGAGGGGTCACTTCACGGTCTACCCAGGGCTGAGGTGGCAGAAACACCACCGTTCTCTCCCTCCAGCCTCTCGGTACTGAAGGGAGGCCTGAGCCCTGCCAGCCAGGGAAGGGCAGAGGTGCTGCCCTGCGAATGACCAGCCAGGCTGGCTACGAAACCCAAAGCAGCCTAGGAGCCTCTGTGGGGAGGTGGGAAATAGGCAAGAGGAGCTCAAGCTCCAAGCCCAGGTGCCTGGTGGTGGCCACTGGTCAGCTCTGTGCATCAGGTTGCCCTGGACACCACCATAGTGCTGGAGCCAGGTCAGTCACCCAGAAACATGGCAGTCTGCAGGATCCAACAGCATGTCTGGGACGGCATTTCTTTGTGTTCTGAGACCCCCCTCTTCCACCTGCCCCCTCCTGTCCTTCCTTTTCTCCCTCTCTTCCTTTTTTTTTTTAAAATAAAACTTAATTCGTGGTTAGTTGGGATCTAGTATATACAATGTTTAGAGTCAGCCCAATGAAACTCAAATTATGAACTCTTCCAAAATAAGGAAGGGTTCTTTGTCCCTCCGACTTCTCTTATGAAATAGTTCAAACAGGCTATACCCTAAAGTGAAAAACCTCAGGCCAGGGGCAAGACAGGGAGGGAGGGGATTCCGAGAAATGCAGAATCCCTGGAAGCCTGGTGGAGTCCCATTCTGCACCCACCCAGATGTGAGCTAATTGCATCCCGGAGGCTAGACCCCAGGAGGACCAATGTCATACACCAACACATCTCTTAGTGATGCTCCTCTCTGTCTTTAAATTTTTACCCTCAAAGTAAAAAACGAATCAGAAAGTACTGCCACAGAGATAACACCCTAAAACCCTTTCTACTTTTGTTGGCCCCATTTTTCTTTATACATCCACAGACTAGGCTTAGAGAACTCAGCCTGCAGAACCAGCACCACCCCAGACCACAGCAGGCCATCAGCCCAGCAAGAAGCGCCACTGCTGGGTCTTGCTAGTGAACTTTGGGCCACAGGGTCCCATACCAACCTGAACATGCTTCCTGACCATCACATTGCTTATTCCCAGGTGCCTCTGGCAGGCCCCAGTGTTACAGAAGCAGCCTGTTCGCAAATGGATGTTGTAAAGACTGGCCATCTTGTCCACCTGCGGATTCAATATGACATGGAACAGTGTTACAAAGGCACAGTTTCCGTCAGAATGCCTGGGAGAGGGTCTCAGGTCAGCACTTGGACCTTTCTTTCCTTACAGTAAAATGAGGATACAAACCTGGGATTTTGCTCTAAAATGCCATGATCTGTCATGGTTTGTTAAACATTTTATTAAATGTGACTGAGAATTAAAGTCTATCTGACTGAATTATCATATCAAATCCATGCCAAATTCTAAGTGAAGAGCCCACGTTTCCACATTTCAGTGGGGCTGGAGGTTCTGGCAGTGCTGTAACCAGCTACACGGAGCCAGATCACACAGCAGCTCCGCCTTGGCAAACACTGGACAGCAAACACTACTGTGCTGACAAGGTGTGTTACTGACTTGCTTTTCCTAAATTCTCCAACTCTGGGTTCATTCACAGAATTTCTGTGTAGTCCAGAAGTTACAAAGGCTCTTTCCTGCCCCCTGGAGGCTCAGAGAGGTGCTTCACACTCACTTAAGCCACAGGGGATGTCTGCCCCAGCTCTTGCTGGCTATGGGGCAAGGACTCCATGTCCCCCCAGGGCCTGGGGGCAGAATGAGGGTCCTCAGCCCAGGTGACTCAGGCTGAACTCAGGGGAAGGAGTCACTAACTGTATTCAGGGAAACAAAAACATCTTGCTCATCTGGTTAAGACTTCAAACTTTTCTCCCTGGAAGTCACATATAGGATGGCCAGAGGCAGCCACAAAAACCACCTGTAACCATGTAATGGTCAGCCTGGTCTCATGGCTGGCTGATTCTTCTCAAGACCATGGCTGTTTTCACTGAAGCCACCTCCTTTGGTCTGTCTGAAAACAAGGGTTGAACTGAGAGGCCTCAGAAAAACAAACAACTGTGTTCCCTCACACGGGCATAGAGACCTGCTAGTGAAATCCAGGAGTTTCTTGGCTCTGTGAAATATGAGCCAGCAGCCCTACTGGGTCCAAAAAACTCCATCTCCAGAGTCCGGTTTCCATTCACAGGGAGCCTCTCCTCCCTCAACTCCCATCAGGATGAATTAGAATCCTCACAGCCACCCTTCACCTGCTCCCCATATTCACTGTCCCAATTATCATTGCTACGAAATAAGCCCCCCAAACTTGGTAGAATAAAGCAGCAACCATTTTATTATGCTCAGGGCTACAGTGGGTCAGGAATTCAGAACAGGCACAAAGGAAGATAACTTGTTTCTCCTCCATAAACTCTTGAGTCTCAGCTGAGAAAACTCAAAAAGAGTCTGGACACTGAAATCCATGTAGCTTGGGCTTCCTTGTAGCATGGCAGCCAGGGTACAAAATAGTATCTAACATGTAGCTCAGGGCTTCAAAAACAAGCGTCCCAGGGAACAATGGCATCACCTTTTCTGACCTAGCCTCAGAAGCCACGCAATATCACCGTCATGGCATTCTATGTATTGGTTATGAACAAGTCACAAACCAGCCTCATTTTAAGGGGAAGAGACATGGACCCCAGCCTTCCATGGAGGAGCATCAAGGTCACATGGCAGCAGAAGAGGAGGTGTGTGGAAGACACTGTTCAGCCACACTTCCCTATTTCCCATTAGTTAGTCTCCTCTTGCCTTCAGCCCAGGGGTATAATCCCACGTAGGCCCAGCCTATGCCTAGCCAGCTAGAGGTGGCTGGTGCCATGACAGGGTGAAACTGGCATCCAGGGAAGAACAAGAAACCACCCTACCCACAGGCAGGGGGCCCTCCAGCCTCGGAGCCTTTATGCTCAATGTTTAGGGAGCACTTACTTTGTCCCAGGTCCTGTGTCAAGGGATGTATCTATTGTATCTCCCTTAATTCTCTTATCAACAGTATAAGCACATATATTGTTACCCTCATTTCACAGAGCCTTGCACAGCTTAATTTGCCTGAGCTCACAGAGCCAGTAAGAAGCACTCAGAATCTGAACCCACACACGGAATTTAACTGCCACACAGGGTAACCTCTAACACTGTGGAGAATAAGGCCTGGATACCAAAAACTAGAATTCAAACCCTTCTCACAGAAGGCTAAATATTCTCCCTCAAAAAGTGATGGCCAAAGCCAGCTATGGTCTTTCCAAAAGCCTCTGAAATTCCTGCAGAATTCCCACACTGTGAAGTCCCTTAACCCCGGGAAAACCATAAGTGCACTTTTCTGAAATGGCACAGCTGGCCATGCCTCAGCCATGAGACCCACTCATGCAGTGAGTACCCTCTACCAATGTGCAGAGGGGGAAATTCGTCCTGTGTCCAGCTCCAAGGAATGGGCACCTAGACAGGCAGTCCCCTCTCTGGTGGTTCTCTTCTCTGAGCATTCTTCCCCCTACCCTCTGTGCCACCACACATACAAATTTACTTTAGATTCAAGGGAAAAAATTACCAATTACAAGGCAAACTTTAGGCTCCTTACAGTGGATCATGCCTGTAATCCTAGTACTCTGAGAGGCCAAGGCAAGAAGACTGCTCAAGCTTGGGAGTTTGAGACCAGCCTGAGCAAAAGGGAGACCCTGTCTCTACTAAAAGTAGAAAAATTATCCAGGTGTTGTGGTGAGCACCTGTAGTCCCAGCTCATCTAAAGGCTGAGGCAGGAGGATCCCATGAACCCAGGAGTTAGAGGTTGCTGTCAGCTAGACTGATGCCATGGCACTCTAGCCTAGATGACAGAGTGAGACTCACTCTCTCTCTCAAAAAAAAAAAAAAAAAAAAGATGGAAGACTTTTTCCCTTGATGCATTTTCCCAGACAAGCATTTAAAGTCACATGCTTCCTAGTGGTGTTGGGCTGGGTCTGCCAGTAGTAGGTCTGATGGCTGAAGGCAGTGGGCGAGGTGGGCTCCAACAGTTGACATGCTCTGGAGACCACCTGTGACTATAGAGTGTCTGACCCTGAATGTCAGTGAGGACCCACATTTCCCCCAGAAGAATTCCCAACTTTGCTTTTTAAGAAATTTATGGCTATCAAGCAGGATGGCTACTTAGAATGGGGTGGGGGAATACTCCTTAGGATACGGATTTGGTTTGGGAAATTGGGGGATTAACAAAGGTGAGCGGAGATACGGCTGTCAGGGGAAGACCAACACCATCTTCCAAACTCATCTGATGATCGAATCAGCTCCTCACAGAGCTGCTCTGGGAAGGACCTTTGATTCCTGGTGCCAATCTGTGACACCTCTTCTGGTCTCCACCTACTCCTGTGTCTAGTATGACTCTGGAATTTTTAAGGGACTGGGAAGTGACCACCTTACTCAACTGTGGCAAGGACCCAAGCAGTTCCCAACCTGTAAGCCACTGTTGGCATTTTTTCATGGGTATATCTGCAGAAACTACTTTTAACCAACCTACCAAATCCTTTGAACTCATAATGTGCATAAAATAAAGTATAAATAGGGCCTCTGTGACACTAAGAGCAGCATTTCTGCTTGTCATGAGAAAGGGTTCAATAAAGGGGTGCAACCACCATGTCTGTGAACAACATGCAAATGAGGAGGGTAGCTAACCCACAGCTCTAGGTGACACCATAGCATGGTCTGACATCTGGGACCACCAGGCCGTCCATACACGAAATGACCTCAGCCATGGTGTTCTGTCCAAGCTACTTACCATCTCAACTATTTTAGTCAGTGTGTCTCCCTCACTGGCAACCTATGCGCTGTCCCCTTCCATTGCTATCAGAAGAATTGGCCTCTTTCTACCCACTTGAAATTTACCACTTCTGGCTGAGCAAAGAGGGCTGAAAAACTAAATCACCAGGCTTGTTAGGACTGTGTGTCAGTGAGAGTGGGAAAGCCCATGGGTGAGGGCCAGGTGGCCTCTTCAACAGTGCATGAACCTTGTCACAGCTATTCACAGGGCACAGAGGCCTTCTCTGAAGGGTTGAGGGCTCAGCACGGCTTCCAAATTCCAGATAAGAGTGATTCTGTTGTAAAAAGGTCAGCAAGATGAAAAGAAAACCCACCTGGGAGTAACCAATGACATTCCCAATGTCGTCCAGCACATTAAAATTGATGATTGGACCCTGAACCTCAGGGCTGCTGAATTCTGAATCGCTGTAAATCCGCACCACGGGGGCTCCATTGGGGTACCGGAGAGAGGCCAGGGCAGCGTAGGTGTACTGAGCCAAGGCAAAGGTGTGTTGCTTTATATTCTCCATCCCACCTCAAAATCAATTATGAAATGCCAAGAGAATCATGAACTGTACATAGATTCAGTCACTTATTTTTAATAAAACAAGTTTGCTATAACTGGCAAACCTAGACCGCATATGAATAATTCTAAATACATGTAAATAGTACATGACATTGCCCTTGTGAAAATGTTTAGGTCTTTGTTTGTTTTGGCCAGGGCTGGGTTTGAACCCACCACCTCTGGCATATGGGGCCAGCACCTTACTCCATTGAGCCACAGGTGCCACCCATGTTTAGGTCTTTGGTACTAAACAATAGGTTACCATTGCTGTTTCTGATATTTCGATAGGAATTTCTGTCAATCTTGTTTTTAATATAGGTATAATATTCCTTAAATATTCAGATAATTTAGACCTGTTACTAGAAGAATGAAAAAATGTGCAATTGTTTTTCTTCATTTCTTTTGTTTTTTTAAAAAACGGCATGTTTGGGTGGTGCCTGTGGCTCAAGGAGTAGAGTGCTGGCCCCATATACCAGAGGTAGTGGGTTCAAACCTGGCCCCGGCCAAAAACTGCAACAACAGTAAGTTAGTGAAACGGTTACCTGTTAAGAACATTAAACTTATTTAAAAAAAAAAAAAAAGGCATGTTTAATACATCTGTAAGAATAGAGGGAATGCAACAAGGATTAAAATTTTATAATGTACTTTAGACATTTATGTAAAAGAGGTTTCCCCTATTTTCCTGTCTTTTCTATCTTCTCAGAGCAGTGAATCGTAATCACTTCTTTCACAGACAAGCTGCTCCATTATGTTGAATGGTAATTACATCTTTATGTTCACATCGTTATCATCACCTCCAAAAACTCTACCCTTCATTTCACGGCACCGTCTCTCTAAACTTTTCCGTGGTGAAACCGTACTCCACTCAAATTCGAAGAGCCCAGAGAAATGAGAGCAAACAGCAGTCAAATTCACATGAATGAAAGACCAAAGGTTTTTAAGTACTGATCTAGTAACTGAGTGTGTACTGGAACAAACTTTCTACCCACTCATAGTATTAAAATAGTGATAATAAAAATGAAAGCTACATTAATGAAAAAGGAACTCAGGAATGAGGTCACTAAACACAGCCAACTACATGGTAAATACAGATCCTGCATACTTCCTGATTAGTTTTAGGTAAGTACCTAACCTGTCTCCCCTGAATTCTGGTCTCAGTAAAACAGGTCAGAACAATGACAAAGAAGGTGCATCATACCATCAGGTCCATTTTTAAACAATGATTGTGCTTAATGCCACTGAGTTGTACACTTAAAAATGGCTAAAATGGTAAATTTTATGTCATGTATATTTTATTATAATTTTTTTAAAAAGCAATGAACTAGGAAAAGTCAGGGTTTGCCACATTCTGGACTGATACTGTAACCTCTGGGTTCTCAGGTGGCTCTGGTCCTGTTAGATCCTGTTACCATGATTTGGGTGCCCTGTTAATCTCTTTCTTTGGGAAGTACCCACTCATTAATCCCTGATGTTTTCATTTCCTGCATGGGGCAAATCCTAGATGCTACCCCCTCGGGCCCCTGTATTACTATATGAATGACCCTCTCTTCCCAGGAATCCTATCTGCCCCAGTGTTGGGCTAAGGCTGAGGACTGGAGGGGTTCCATTATTGTGACAAAAGAGAGAACATTTATCAGAAAAGACCAACACTGTCAGCAGAGCTAGGCATTGGTATAACCTGGGTTAAATCCCAACTACCAGCTTCTTGGCCTGGGAGGGCATTCAACCTCTCTGGGCATCAGCTCCTTCCTGGACAAAGGGACCTGTCATACAGCCCCCTATGGGGTGGGGAGCAGATCCAGAAAGGTCAGAGCTGCATAAGGCCTCAGGATCTGTAAGTCCAGGTACCAAGGATCCTCCATTTCTGTGAAGCTATTCAGCTCCTGATTTGGAATGCCTCCTACCTGTTAAAATGTTTTTTTCAACTAACAGAACAAAAATCATCCCCAAACATGCCGCCTCATCTTCTTGCTCTCAGAAGTCATTTTGGAATTATTTATTTGGTTTCAGATTTAACTGTATGAGGTGCCCGGCCACCACATGCCACTTGCTTCCTCAGGCTCTGTCTCCATCAGAACTGTACTTGTGCCAGAGTGTCCTCAAGGACACAGCAACTTATTCCATAGGGATAAGAATGTCCACTGACCTGTGAGGCGCTCTAGGGCATCAAATCCATGTTTCACTGCAATCACATCAAGGAACGAGATGGTGCCATCTTCAAACCTATAAGCAAGGAGAGTGAGAAAAATAAGGTCACCTGTGGCCAACACAATCCATATGCGTTTTATGATATGTGACAAAGTTTAGATTGTAACCTTGACTGTAATTGCCACTTTATAAAACACTGCTTTCCCCCTTAGGGGAGAGGGATGTCCACGCCAAGACCTATCTGGCTGCCTCTGACCCTGACCTGCTCTGAAGCTCTCTTGGGATATTCCAAAATTCCTAGGGAGGCCTGAGTGGTGATAAAGGGTCCTAAAAAGACAGTCACCCCCTTGAGACACTGGAGAGACAAGAGATGTTTTGCTGCCCCCAGGAAGAGACTGAAAATCTTCCAGTGCCTCAGGCTCTTGCCATACTGACCTTTGACCACAAGAGGGCACCACTGACAGGGCATCAATTTAACATGATGGATTCTGCCCTGAGAAGGTTCTAGAAGTGTGTCTAGGGTTCCAAAGACTATGAAACTGCGAGTTTGGGCTTACATTACAAGGCTCTCATTAATCCAGCAGAAGCACACCTTGATTCACAAAGAGTTGATTATTTTTGCAGTTTGTAATTATTCATTTGGTTAAAATATTCATCAGATCTTTATTGTCTAACCTGTGTGCACTATTGTCCACTGTCTAGGTGCCAAGGATACAGACCATGGTCCAGGTGTGTGCTGTCCAGGCCAAATCCCTGTCCTCACAGTGTTCACATTCTATGACAAATGCACACAGAGAAACCAACTAAACAGCGTGCTAGATGGTGGAAAGAGCAAAGAAGATGTGTAAGGAGGAGATGGTGACTACTTCCGATGAGCTGGTCAGGGTAGGTCTTCTCTGAGGAAGGTCACCTGAGTGGAGACCCATTAAGTAAGGGAATTTAGGGAGCATGGGAAAGAGCTGATTTTTGAAACAGCTAAACTCATAATTTCTGCATTCCAGAGAGTAGACACAGCAAATGCCCTGAGTGGGAAAAGCCTGGTATATACAGGAAAAGCAGATCAACTGGCCTCAGCCAGCAAGCCGGCAGTGGCCGGAGATGGAGTAAGGAACCTACAATTTAATCCAGGTGACCAACAGCAGTCTTATGCAAGTTGAAGTTCTCAATGAAAACATTGTGTTTTATATCTTAATCCTCTAAGAATAAGATTTGCTAACAATGTTAAATTCCCTTATAAAACAAATATTCATTAATACACATACAGAATTAATGAGTCAATAATGAATCAATTAATTGATTAGCCACAAGGGAATTAATAGATAACCACTAAAAAATTAAACATTAGGCAATAATGACTGGAGTTATTAACTGATTGATAATAATTATTTATTAATGAATAATTGCTAGATTCTTATTTAGAATAAAAGAGGAAGTTTTTATTTCTATCAAGGATTATATTGCACTGAGTAATAAAATGCAAGATTATGCCCAGGTATGCGTTCAATAAACATGTGAGTTGAGTATTAAATCTCTGGAGCGCTAGTCTTAAATTCCCAAGAAAAATAGGATTATAATCATAAATAAATATATTCTGTTTTCTGAGAATCTTGGTAGCAAGTATTGCCTGGTGGCCACAGCTCACCCACCCTTGACCCCCAGGGAACTGCCCCACTTCTCTTGGCCTTTGAGTACACTTCCTGATCAAATGAAGTTTGAGGTGTCATTCTGTGCTTCCTTTAATTCATATTATGTTATGCCTGTCATTCTTTTCTTTTTTATTTTTTTTTGAGACAGAGCCTCAAGCTATTCCCCTGGGTAGAGTGCCGTGGCATCACAGCTCACAGCAACCTCCAGCTCCTGGGCTCAAGCGAGTCTTCTGCCTTTGCCTCCCAAGTAGCTGGGACCACAGGCACCCACCACAATGCCTGGCTATTTTTTGGTTGCAGCTATCATTGTTGTTTGGTGGGCCCAGGCTGGATTCGAACCTGCCACCTTAGGGGTATGTGACTGGCGCCTTACCCACTTGAGCCACAGGCACAGAGCCTCATTCTTTTCTTAAATATGTTGCTGGGTAAATTGTCATACTTGGATTCAAAAAGTTTCACATTAGCATTCCTGTTTTAGAATCCCCGAACTATGGAGAAGTCATAAACAAATGACGTCAAATAGCCTCATGACCTCATGGCACATACAGATGCCCACTCCATCCTGATGCTTCACCTGTATGAGCTCATCATCATTCTCTCTGTCCAGAAAACACCTGAGGTGCAGAAGATTAAGTCACACATTCCCCCAGCTAGGGAGTGGTGGGGCTGAAATTCACACCCCAGCAGTCCAGCTCCAGGGCCTACATGGTTAACCAATTAACAGTGACTCTATTGTCAAGGCCATGGCCCTATCCACAGGATCCCTGAGTCTGTGTGGGGTCTGTGGAGGATCCAACCTGCCTTCTCATCCAAGCACCACCAGCAGGGTGAGTAGCTCCCTACCCCACTCCACAGTGTCTGGCTGTTGGACGCAGCAGGACCTCAGCTGCCATTTTCATCCTCTCACAAATTCAACTTTATGGGTCCCAGCCATGACCAGCTAAGAGATTCCCCAGCATAATTCACACAGCCTTCCCGGCAGCCTGGGGAAGAGGTTTGCCAACAGATGCAGGCAAAGGTCTCTGGCACTTGAGGGCAAGTGGCAGCCTGCCCACAAACTTCCTCTGTAACTCACTCATGGGGGTGGCCATGGAGGCTGTGGCCAACAGTGCCTCACACGTCTGGGCCTCTGGTTTAACTGCTTCTTCTTGCTAACTAGGTACCAAGCTGAGCTGTTTCTAGCTGTCGGAGAACCAGCTTGCTGTCAACGTGGTTCACACTTGTTCCAAACAGTGCCATCATTTTTTTTTTTGTTTTGAGACTCTCTCTATGGACCTGGGTAAAGTGAGGTGGCATCATATCTCACAGCAACCTCAAAGTCTTGAGCTCAAGTGATCTTCTTGCCTTGCTCTCCCAAGTAGCTGGGACTACAGGCTATGCCAGGACAGTGGGCTAGTTTTTCTATTTTTAGTAAAGAGAGGTGTCACTCTTGCTCAGGCTGGTCTTGAACTCCTGAACTCAAGGCATCCTCCCGCCTTGGACTCCCAGAGCGTTAAGCTATGGGCGTAAGCCACTATACCCAGCCCAAATGCCATCTTTTAAAACCACTGTTTGAACTGCAGCCACCTCTTTTTAGTGCTATGAACAGAGGCCTAGTGGCCCTCCCACCTTACCGGGTGAAGGCCTTTCATCTTTCTGCCTGCAGCCTTGGTCCTCCCACAGACGTGGAGAAGCCCTCAAACAGGGGTGGAGTTCACTGAGCCGCCGGTGGCACGTCCAGCCAACTTCTGAGCCCTCTCACCATCCTGTCTCTGCAGCAACGTCCCCGTCCTGACCCCTACGCGCAGCCCTGTCCCTTTCAGTCCTCTACGCAGCACATGGCAACATCCAGCAGCCATCCCTAGAGCCACCCCACCCGTGACAAGGTTACCTTTCAGCCACCGACGGCCTTGGGACATAAAAGTCTTCCCCGGCGAGGTAGGCAGCGGCCGAGCCTCCCCCAAAGTAGGTCTTCCTCAGCAGAGGCGCCACGCGATTATTGACCAGCAGAGCGCCCAGGCCCGTGGGGAATCCAAAGATCTTATAGAAGGAGATGGGGACAAAGTCAGCCGGGTGTGCCGACAGGTTTAGCGGCGAGGTGCTCACGTAGGCGGCCGCATCGAGCAACACGAACCACTTCCCCGGCAAGCTCTCGGGGCGCCTCCGCCCGGCCTGGACGTCTGCTATCCAGGACAGAGGGTACCTGGTTCCAGAAAAGTTACTCTGAGCCGGGTAACAGAAGAGGTGTGGCAGCTGGCAGTCGGCGTCATTCTCCGCAGCACCCTGGTCCTCTGCCGACCACAGGTCCTCCGGCCTGACCGAGGTGGACGTGACGTTCCTGGCCGCGGTCACCTTCCTCATGCCCACCACGGAGGTGTGGCTGTCGGTGAGGTAACAGAACCTGCTCCCGCTGCTGTTGGGGCCCGGGGACACCCACGGAAAGGCCTCTGCCACCAGTTTGAGAGCAGCCGTGCTCCCGGCAGTGAAAATCACGCTGTAGTCCTCGGCGGTAGTGTGGAAGTGTGCCAGGATCCTGAAAGAAGCACAGGGTCACCCCAACCCCGGGCTCAGGCCCAGGGCTAAGAGTTTGGGGGTGGTTTTGTTTCTGCTAAATACGACATCTCAGTCTTAATAGCTAGAAAAAACCTCCAGGTAGGCTTTGTCGCACTTGGGAAGTCAGAGCAGGGCAGAGGAAGTCGTGGGAGGAGATGGCAAATTGCCCCAGCTGCAAAATCACCCTGGATCCCAGTGCCATCTCCAATTGATGTGAGAAAAATCCATAAGGACCCTCATCTTAGTTGAAAATACCCTCTCTTTGGTGCTTTTCTTTCTTCTTCTTTTTTTTTTTTTTTTGTTTTTTATATTTTGTTTTATATCTTTTAGATATAAAAGATCTTTGGTGCTTTTCTACACAACTCTTACATAGCAATTTTTTTTTTTTTTTGAGACAGAGCCTCAAGCTGTTGCCCTGGGTAGAGCGCTGTGGCATCACAGCTCACAGCAACCTCCAGCTCCTGGGCTCAAGCGATCCCCTGCCTCTGCCTCCCAAGTAGCTGGGATTACAGGCACCCACAACAATGCCCGGATATTTTTTGGTTGCAACCCTCATGGATGTTTGGCGGGCCAGGGCTGGATTCCAACCCAGCAGCTCAGGTGTATGTGGCTGGCACCTTAGCCACTTGAGCCACAGGCGCCAAGCCTCACAGAGCAAATTTTAAGTCATCAACTTGTTTGCATTGTTTTTAATTTTGCCAGCCCTATATCAAAATAGTATCATTTTCAAATTTGAAATCATTTGAAATTGTGTTAATAATTTTAGGTATCCCTTGGAAATTATTTGCCAGAAACGAATTATTACATGCAAAAATGTATAAAGAGCTATATAATATAAAAAATACTAGAGAAGAACAGTGCCTATGGCTCAAAGGAGTAGGGCGCTGGCCCCATATACCAGAGGTGGTGGGTTCAAACCTGGCCTTGGTCAAAAACTGAAAAAAAAAAAAAA